TTCCTATCTGCCCAGCTCTCCAGCCTGTCCAGGTCCCGCTGGATGGCAGCGCAGCCCTCCGGAGCGTCAGCCACCCCTCCCAGTTTGGGATCATCAGCGAACTTGCTGAGGAGACACTCTGTCCCCTCATCCAGGTCATTGATGAATATATTGAACAAGACTGCACCGAGTATTGACCCCTGGGGGACACCACTGGTTACAGCCCTCCAACTAGACTCTGCTCCACTGATCACAACCCTCTGAGTCCTGTCACACAGCCAGCTCTCAGTCCACCTCGCTGTCACCTCATCTAGCCCACGCTTCCTTAGCTTCCTAATGAGGATGTTATGGGAGACAGTGTCAAGTGATGCTTGCCAGCAAAGCGCCCGCGGGCTCCAAGGGCGAGATGCCCTCCCGAATCCCCCCGGATGGGCAACACACCTCTCCCAGCCCCTGAATTAGGACTCATCCACCCATAGAAGCGCAACCTTCAGAAGAGAGGCGACAGAGGGTCCCCCTGCCCCCGCTCCACCATCCCGCAGCCCACCTTCCGCCGGGTTATTCAAAGCTGAAGGGTTTGGGGGTCTCTTCTCCCCGGGTACCTTTGGGCAGTTTGCAGATCCAGTCCAGCTGGGCTTCACACTGCATCGGCATCCACTGCAGGGAGGCCAGGTCCAGCACCGCACAGGTCCGGATGTCATCGTCATCGTAGTTACTGCGGTCAAAGTTGTGGTAGAAAAACTGGGGGTCGAGAGAGACGGGCGGTGTTGGGCATTTCCACCAGCGCCGAATTTGTCCCCTTCCCCCCCCTCCCCCGCCCTCTGCACCCCAAATGCCGACGCGGTTCATACTGCCGCAATCCCCCCAGACTCACCCCCAGCCCGTCGCTCCACCTCCAGCTCCTGTCCCCCGCGGGGTCCCGCCGGTTCAGGCCGATCCAGAACCAGTGCTGCTCGTGGAGCTCCGGCTCCGACTCCCTGCGGGGAGCCAGGGGCAGGCTGAGAACACACTCCCCCTCCAAACCGGAGGTTTTTCTATTTATACACAAGTATGTATTTATAATGTGGCCTTTTTTTGTTTGTTTGTTTTCACACCCTGCTGCCCCCACGACACCCGAAGGCAGGAGCTCAGGTAACGGGCACGCCGCCTCAGGGCTGAAGGAGCTTCAACCCCAAGCTCCATCCCGAAATTACACCGGATTTCATGCACTT